CCCCCAAAAAAAAATTGCCTGAACATGGAGAAGTTCGAAGCAAGAAGACCGCTCGAGGTAGAGGTAATCCACCAATCAAGGATGAAAAGCCTTGTGAAGAATATGAATCTGAAGAAGCAAATATGATGCACAAGTTGGATCCTTGTTCATCTTCAAGCTTTGATGGTTCTCCAAGTAAAAGTTCCCACACGTCAAGGCGTCTCACCGTTTGGGGACGCACGCCTGTGAGTAAAACATTTCATTGACAATATCACTCTTTTTTCTCCCCCATTTCGGGCCAGCGTTCTGCATTCCATTTCACTTAACCCTCACCATCTTCCTGAAGTGCACCATCATGATAGTTTTGACTGTTGTTAGAGATTCATATGGATTTTCCAAGCTAGCTTTTTTTTTCCCATGTTCTTGCAGCTAGTTTAACTAGCTTTTGTTTTCTATACAAGCGCAGGCAAAGAAGAACCTCTCCATGGAATCCATGGATCTTGATTTTGACGAAGAGTAAGTGGCTTTTTTTTCTGTTTCTTTATATGTAGGTTAAAATAAATTAATATTTTCGTATTTACCTAGAGGGGAATGGATGTTCCACAATCAAGACTATATGGTTTGGTCTTTTTAACGGCTTTAATTTTATTATCAAGTCTCAAAAACCAAATTGAGGAATGTGGATTGGAGCTTACATTTTCTTGTAAGTTTTTTTCATAAAAAACTCACCTGAGTTCATTTATGCTTGAATAGTCTTCCATTTAAGGACTGGGCTTGAAACTTCCTGATTATGTCATTTCTTGGTTTACAGATCCTTATAATTCTAATGACTTCGTTACACTGAACTTTTCAAGTCCAAAAATATGAATTGAAAATACTGTGGGGCAGGTGGCATCGATTGGATCAAGTGTTTATATTCATGAGATTTTTCCTTTGTTTGTATATTTGCTAAGTCGTCAATTACATCATGACACATTATATTAATCTCTTCAAATAATTACAGTATCAGTTGTCGTGACCTTGAACTTCTTGGTAAATGATTATTTTTGCACTTGTTTTTTTCGTCATCCCCCGTCTTGTAAATTTTCTTTGACAACTTTTTGTTCTTATTTCAGGGTTGAAATCCAGAAACTTGAAGCCACTAAATATGAACTGCAAAATAAAATTTTGGAGGAGGTAAAGATTCTCAGTGCCTTTTTTCTACGTATTTCATTTCTGGTTCTTTAATCTTCACATTAATTCTTTCTTATTTCAGGCCAAAGAAAATTATACTTTGCAATCCAGTCTGGAAAACCAAAAGAAGTTCTTGCATGAGCGTCGTATAACTCTTGAGCAAGAGGTAAACTCTTCATGGGCCATTAGTCCCGCTGCTCTTAGTTTCATGTTCTTCATTCTCCATAATGTGATTGATGCGTCTAAGTCAATGGAACTGAAAATAGGAACCCTTGTGATTCTTTCAAAATGTTCTACCTTTCGTTTTTGTTTTTTGGTTTGCAATAATGCAATTTATTTACCTTTTGTAATTTTTTCTGTTGTTTGTGCAAACGATGACCCAATAGTTCAGAAAGCAAGTTGTTGGTTTGGATGCCTTTTAGGGTATAGTTCAAGTTATGATAGTAACCTATCTAAGATAATAATTTTTCTTGCATTTGTTTCTACGGACTACCACTGACTACCATAGGTTGACTCAGTGGTAGAAGAATCAAGTTGTTAGTTTGGGTACCTACTAGGTTATCGTTCAAGGCATGGTAGTATATCCGAGATAATTAATATGGAGCTTTTTAGTACTTTTAAGTGTTATAAGATCAAATTTTAGTTCTGTGGATTATTCAAAGTGGACAGCTTGGACACCCACTGTTATATTAAAAGGTTTAGCATGTTTATGGTACCCTTAAGTGATTATTAAAGTTGCAAAGTCAACTAGGGAGATAAAGACTTAGTCATGACTATGGATTGAATGTTCAGGTGGCAAGACTAAAAGGCCAGTTGCAAAAGGAGAGAGATCTAAGGATGGCTCTTGAAGTAGGACTTAAAATTTCTCAAGGCCCCTTACCGAGTTTAGCTAATATTAGTGAAAAGGTCAGTTTGTCTAATGCTTTTTATTTGTTTTAGTAGGATTATGTGACAGATTGCCGATGCCATAATGTGTTAGCTATTTGTCTAGACAAAGGCAGATCTTGAAGAAATAGATCAAGCAGAGAAAGACATTGCCAATTTAAACAACATGGTGGCTGACTTTGAAGGACAGCTCGATAGGCTACGTCCTTCTTCTGATTCACGTAATGCCTCACAGAATCATCAAACAAAATCGTAGGTTTCTCTTTTCTGAAATTTCATGTTTTCGCATAATCATATCATAATAATTTTTTTGCACAGGTAAATGTTCATAACTTTTTCATCCTTTTCTTATGTGGATAGTAATTATTCATGTGAGATTAACAATTCAATGGGTACAGGAAGGACAAGAAGAAGGATGCTGGAGCTTTAGCCCTTTTACATCCTGAACACTTCAGAAATAAGGTAAATCACATTTTCTTTGGTAATCTTTTATATTTTGGCATGTCTAAGGCACTTCCGACTAAAATTTAATTAATATTTTCAGAGTTTAGGACTAATTTCTTTTCTTCCACTGAAGCTGACGTTTACTCATAGATCATTCTTATCAATTGTAGAGTTATTTTCTATTAATGAGTCAGTTCACTCTGGCGTAGTCCTTGGATCAAGATTGAACTTACCTGATAAAGAGATACTCAATCCCTACTTTCCTCATTATACTTCTTTACTGATATCGATGACCACTGCTATAATGCTGTTATTCTCAAAGCACATCTCCTGCCTCAAATTTGGTTGTGAGGCACCTCATCTGAATTCAATTATGCAATAGCTATATTTCCGTTTTTTAATCAAACCTTGTTTCTTCACTAGATTTCTATGATCCCGTTGAAGCCATGAATCGGGGGAATGCATTATAATAACTATTTTGATCATGCTGAAGTCATGAATCATAGCAATGCATTTTAGTTATTGCTTTGAGCCTCGGGTAGCATTGCGGGATGCTCAGCCCAATTCTCGATTTGCATTTTGCCATCTAGCTTGTCAATAAACTGATGTTCATTTAAGTCCACTGTTGTGTTTTTGCAGGATATTCTTTCAGGTCAAGCAGAAAATGGCAACGAAAAGAAGACGGAATCATCATCTTCCACAAGTAAACACGCCCCTCACCACCAGCATCCAGATCATCATGCCATTGTCAGATCAGTTGGGTTTCCGACCATGGAGGCATTAGCACCAAGGTCAACTGCTCTAACGAATCTTAAGAGGGCTGCTGCAAGGGTTGAGGTAGGTTGTTGTGAAGTCTACTGTTGCCCCAGTTTCAATGCTTCTTATGTTGCTATTATTACCATATCACTTAGAGCTTTGAATCGTCACGTTGAAATGTAGTTCCATGTACGTGGTGGTGCAAAATAAAGATTGTTTTGCTCACATTATGTAAGTCGATTGTGCTTTGTAAAAAATGGTAACAGTCTCATTTGTGTGAGTTGCATGTTTAATATATATGTTTGCTGGATTATTGGATAGCAGCAATGATGCCAAACTACTGGATGGATGTCTGGAAATTTTGTATGTCATAATTAAGGTTTTAAATGCGATTGAAATGTTTGGAGCGTTCATATTTTTGTTATATTTTGTCGGTTTGACTATTTTATAATAAAAATATTGATTCACCCTTCATTATCGATGTCGAAACCATAAACATATTGAAGAAAACGTTGACATGTTGGAAATTCCTTATCGCATCATTTATTCCATGTAATGACCAGATGTAGCTATTATAATGCCTCATCTATGTTTATTGCAGGGTTCAAATCTCACCTCTTCAGCACTGACGAAACTGACTACCAGACTCAATTTCTTGAAGGAGCGTCGCAGCCAGATAGCTAATGAACTCCAGAATATGGACCGGGGGCGAGTTTCAGGTCAATCCTTAGAGAATACGGATAAGGGCAGAGCAGCTGAAGCAAAGCGCTCAGTCCAAAATTCGGATGTCACTCAAGGGTCGTCTATTCAGGACTCAGATAAGAGAGCAGGCACTGATAGCAGCAGCAGCAGCCAGCCCCGAAACTGAGATGCACACAATAAAGGAACAAGAACAGAAGGCCAAAGCCAGAGCAGCAGTAAGTATTATGGATAGAGGAAGATCAGAGAATCATCTGGCCCTTAAGGACACAATAGCAGCAAAGCTTTGGAAACTTCATGAGTGTTTTAAGATAGATATCTTCGGAGCAATGAGTTGAGGTAGCAAACAGTGAAAGTGAAGAATCCTTCACTCTGAATGAAAATGGCACGATGGATGTACAGATGAAACCAGTTTTTTGATCAAAGCTGCTGAATTATTTGCCTTTTTGTTGGTTTCTGATTCTTTTTCTCTCAGTGAATAGCTCAAAGCTTGTATAGGAAGGATTGTGCTATGCTTTCACCATTGGTGAAATTCCATTTTAAATTGATTCTATGTTTACTGTTTGAACTATGCCCAAACAGAGATTTCAAAATAGAAGAACAAAACCCATTATTTGATCCTAGTTATGATATTTTGGTTAACCGTCTTTTTAACTCTGGGAGAATTGATTGTTCTGGAAGAAATGAAACAAGGACACGGTAGAGCTAGGACAGTTATTGTATGAGGTCTTTTCAATACTAGATGCAGAGGCACATAATAATAGATAGATATGAACATCATGAGCTGTCTTATAATAAAACTTGTTGTTGCTGATACTTTCTTCTCGGTTCCTTCTTCCATAACCTAAGCTCGGAGAAGGGAAGAGATAAGAGGACTCTATGAAGAATGGGGTCAGAAATTCTATTATAATAGAGTCAATATTTCAATAATCCATAAGTTATACATAATGACTAATTAAGTTCATAAATTATTGTTTTCTCATAATTTTTCAATATTTATTTTAGCCATTTTTAATTCCTTTTAACGTATAGAATTTCTAAAATGTAATATTATTAAAATTGAATGGAAAAGAATTATGGGTCATCGTCACCCGTCAAATCAAAACTGGTTGAAAATCTTCCTAACTTGTTCGAGTGTGACAAACAAGACTACAGTGAAAGGTCCCTGCCGTGAAATCGTCGGAATAAATCCTTTGTAAAGCGCCATTGCCCCTTCCGCCTTCACCGTCTTCATCGCGCAGTCCAACGCCCCCTTGTACGGCGGAGCCGCCCCGCTCTCCACTTTCATATTCATAACTCTCGTCTTTATCACATCCACCGGATTTGACGCCACCGCCGCCACAAATCCCGCCGCGAAACTCGCCGTCACGTGGGTCCCCAATCCGTCCTTCATCACACCCTTTTCCAATATCGTCTCTTTGATTTCATCGTACGACGCCAACTGCGCCGCCGTCACGATCATAGCGCGGTTCACCGTAAGCGACGACCCGCGCCACAGGCTACTAATCCCTTCCTTCTTTGACATTCTTGTGATGGCGTCCACCACGCCGGCGTAATTCCGCCGCTGACTCAACGGAAGCCTGCCATCGGCCTGCATTCTCACCATTGCGACATCCGCCGGGTTCCCCACCGCCGCGCCAATTCCACCGGCAATAAGCCCCGCCGTGATTTTCCGGGTCAGAGGCATGTTGCCAGAATTCGGGTCGGACCATTTACTTTTAAGAACGTCGTAGAGACCCATCCGAGTGGTGGAGTAAAGAGTCTGACGGAGAACGGTGGCGGAGACGCCAGAAAACAGAGCAGCAACACCTTCGGACTGGACAATCCGTACTCCAACCGATATGGGCCCCGCACGCGGTGGTTGAGGCGGGGGAATATGGAAAGATTCCGGCGCGACAACGGAAGAAGACCCATTGAAAGCTAAGGCGGGGCGGAGACTTGGAAGCGTGGGTTTCTCGCCGGCCAATTGCATCCGAACTTTAATGAGATCAAGAGGGTGAGTGGAGCATCCAGCAACAATGGAGGCGATTCCTCCTTCGGCGAATCCCTTCAAACCCATTTCCGATCGAACCAGAGATTGAGAAAGGAAGAGAAGGGTAAGGAGAACGGAGAAGATTTAGGCAGTGAAATTGGACGGCGCAGTAATGGGTGAAGTGAAGAAGATGGGTTTATAGAAAGAGGAAGAAGGTGGGGATCGCAGAAGCTTACATTAACGCGTGAGGACTGAGGAGTTGAAGAACAGAGGGCTGCGACGGCGGTGGGTCTAACGAAGAAACGGATGCCCTAATGCGACTGCGACTCCCTTTCTTTTGACTTTGACTTGGTTTTTCGTTTGACCTTTCTTTTTCTTATGGGTCAAATAAGTATGGTACAGCGTTAAAAATATGAGAAATATAAATGGTATCGAGAATGCTATCTTCATTCATTGAGTTCACCACGTTTAAATAGGATACCAACTACCAACGGTAAGATATACATCTAACTAAATCTTGAAAATAAGATAAAATATACTATTAATCAAATAGTATATATATACTACTAACCGACTCATAAAGATAAAAAGATAAAATATTAATCAAATAATAAGATAAAACATACTACTAACCAACTCATGAAAATAAAAAAATAAAATATTAAAATATTAACGGATTGCGAATATCTAAAATATATTTCATAACTCATTATTATAATATTTTTTTCAAATATTATATGAGATTTATTTCATAATTAATTATTATAATATATTCTCTAAATATTATATCTTAGTATATATATAGTAGGTTAAAAGGATCATACGCCTGTAATGGAAAGGTGAGCTTCTCCATTGGAATGGTATTTGCTCGAGGAGCCTATCCATGTTTGCTTATAGACCAAATAGCAACTTTTGGTCCTTCGAGATGAGACTCAATGCAGGAATCAAAGGTATGGGTTCAAGGCTGCTCCACTTATTGGGAATGAAATTTGGCACATGACGAATGAAAAATATGAATGCTCACAAAATTTGGTGCAATCGGACATCACGCAGTATGACCGTTTGCCAAAATCACGTCTATGCGTGGAGTATTGAAAGTGGCTAAAGATGTACAATAGGGGAGGCATAGTGTCAGCTCTACACCATCCTTGGATTGTATGGCACATACGTGTGTCACAGCATAGACAAGTATGTCGATTCCTTTAAAATGGAGTTTTCACATGTGCCGATATTGTGCTCAAGATTGTGTGTTGGAGGTTGATATATGCACCCGCTATCAAGTACGCCCTGCCAATGGCATATAAGATGTGGATAATAAAGTTGCTTATTGTGGTCTTTTATCCATGAATCCAAAGTCCATTTTGACCATGGAAGCATGTCATTAATTCAAATGAATCATCACCTAATATATCTAACAAGGTCAAACCCAATAATATATTTTAATAAAATTATTTATGCATTTTAAAAATAAACAAAAAAAAAATAATACTCCAATTTTGTTAAACGAAATGATAACACCAAGAGAAGACAAATCCAATTGTGGACCTTGGGCCCAAGATGACATTGGGCCAAGCCCATTAAAGTAGATACTAAAAAGCCACTATCTTTAAAAACCACTTTCATCCAAATGTGGACCTTGGGCCCAAATGATATTGGGCCAAGCCCATTAAAATGGATACTAAAAGCCACCATCTTTAAAACCCACTTTAACCATACATTGGATTGGACATTAAATTAAAAGAAACGATACATTTTCCAAATTATTCATAGCTTCCATTGTCAGTGATTCAGCTAATTACAGAGCTCGCGAGCAATCCCCAGCTTAGAATTTGCAATATCAAACAAAATCCGATGATTTTGTTGCTGCAAATTGGCGATAACATTCAACACAGAGTTCACATTGTTGGGCGCCGCCGCCATCGCCAAACAAGCCAACGAACCGGCGCTGCTGTGAATCAAACTGTTCTCCATCGGCAATTTCAAGTCCAATCCACTCAAATGGAACGTAATGCCGGGCGCCGCCATTTCATTGCTCGTTGTAAAACACGTGTCGAAAGCTCCCAATGGCGAAAACGAACCGCCCACTTGCTTTCTAAATTCGTCTCGAACCGCTGTGTAGACAGGGTATACGAACCGGGTTATTACCGTCCCCGAGTCGATGATGGTTCCCGCACCAGTGTTCGGGTCGAATGCGAGAGTCTCTGGTGGAATTGGGACGAGAACCCGGCCGACACTGATGCCTGTTAGGTTGACGTAGTAGAGAGACGGTCTGTGCGGGTTCTTAAGGAGTGGGGTGGTTCGGATTGACTTAGGTTGTCCGACCGGGCCGAGTTTTAGTGAACCGGAGAAGTAGTAGGATTTGAAACTCGGGAGACAGTACGAGAATAAACCGGAGTAGAGTGAAGTGGATTGTGAGATGAGTGAGAGGGGACCACGGCCGAGACCCAATAAGCCTTGCGGCGGAATGGAGCTGCCGGAGGCGGAGCTGATGCAACCGAATGAGAAATTTGGAATGACATCGGTTCCCAAGTGGAGAGTGTCTTGAACTAGGGTGGCGGAAAACGATGAGTCGCCGCCGTATGTTTGGTTGAATAAGCAATCGACGCTACCGGTTGTCGGACAGGAAAGACCCCGAGCCTGAAGAAAATTAACAAATAAATTTAATTCACATGTTCAAGATATTTAGTCCTCAATTACAAATAAATATTTAAATATTTGTAATTTATTTGATGATAAAAAATAGAAAATTTTGGATCATTTTATAAAATATACCAAAATAATTTAAATTCGAGTTAATATTAATAAGTAATTAGATCTAATTTTATGTTTTTTAAACAATTATTTAAACTGAGATTCAATTAATTAATTTATAAATTCTAAACACTAAAATTGCTATTTTGAAAATTAAACGACAGATTTTTTTTTTTTTTAAACATAAATAATAATTATAATAAATGTAAATTAAATAATTTGAGTAGCGATTCAACAAACCTGGCTACACTGCGGTTTGGAGCAATCCAAAGTGGCAAAAGTGGAGGAATTCTTAGACAAGAAAGTGGTGGCGGAGCAGCCGGAGCAGCCGGAGCACGGTGCCCAGGCGGCGTCACTACTGGTGTCAAGAACCATATACATAGCTTGACCCGGAGTACCCAATTGAACTCTCACCACATAATTCCCAATATTGAGAGCATGTTGCCCGGAGGCGATAGGCGCCGCCACCGTCTTCTGGGCGGCGAGGCTCGACAAGTACTTAATTCGGGCTGGGTCTTTCGAAGCCATATCAATCACCGTGTTCACCCAAGATTCTGACTTCGGCGCCGTGAACGGCGAGCATTTTCCGTAGATGGGGATGACGGAGAGATCACCGGAGCCGTCCGATCCGGCGGCGCAGAGATCGGAAGCGTTGGAGTTTAGTGCCAGAAGGGCTAAAAAGACGAAGAAGAAAAATTTGACGGCCATGACTCGGACTCAACTCGGTGGCCGGAGTTGAGAGAGACGGCGGTGGAAGAGGTGAAAACGAAAATTTGAAGGTTACCGGTTACCGGAGTTTTTGCATGGGGGTATGGTAGATTTATAACAAAATTGTGTTGTGAAATTACGAAAATGGGCATATAATTGTTTAGTCTGACGTAATGGTAGCGCTTATCCATGCACGTGAGGTTTGAGATATAAATATCTATATTTTCCTTTATTTTTTTATTTCAAATATATATTTAAAAATTTTAATAAATTTTTGTATATATTTTTTAAATTTTAATATTCGGTAAATTTTATTTATTTATTTATTTATTTATTTAACTGTTATGGAATAACAATCACATCATAGACTTGTACCTTCTTGTTTATTTTTTTTATCATTTTTTTTATTTTTTAGTTAAAAAAAAAAAACTAGAAAAGTGCTGGAAAGAAACTTCTTTTATCTCTCATATTTTAAAATTTATAAAATAAAATTGGATTACTCTAAAATATTTTTAAAAAATAAAATTTATTACCCATATTATATCTTAAGCAAATAATTTTTTTTTCACTATATTTAAAAAAAAAATTGTATAATTTTGAATAATATGTTGGGATCATGAAAGAAAATTACTTAAATTTTAAAGATCGGAAATTAAAAATAAAATAGTTTTGAAACGAATTATTGAATATTTATCTTCCACCCCCTAATAAATGGTAATATCAAAAAAAGGCACTTTGCGGTGAGAAAGAGACGGTAATTATGGCGAAGTGGTGGCCCCTCTAAATAATTTAGGTGTCCTAAAAAGTGCTCAAAAGTAAATAATAAAAGTTCGTTTTCAGACGGAATCCAAGGACAAAACGGGGAGTTTTTCTGTTGTAACTCAAGAAAGGGCCAAATTGGTCCAAAGGAATCTGTCTGACACTCTAATTAAATACACAAAAACACCCTCTAGTTCACACAAAACCACGAAAATGCCACTGTGGGTAAACAATCTAAATAAAAAATTTCGAATTTTAACCCTAAATTTATTGATTTAAATTATTGCTTTTTCGCTTAATATTAAGTTGACTGCACAAATTAATTATGGACCAATTTTTTATTTAATTTCACATCATATTTATGTTAAACAGTAAAATTATTACAAGTGGATTAATTTATGGGTTTTTTTTTTTGTCGGAAAAGAGTATGATCTCGTGAGCTATGGAGTAAAAGAAAGTCAAGGAGGACAGGGAGGATATTTTTGTCCGTACGCGGGCACGGGACCTGGTCGGTCACGGGCTGACAAATTGTTTTGTTATTGGGCCAGGCCCACCATAAATCCAGCTGTTTCCATCGAGCTACAGAAAATTAAAAAGGGAAAACAAAGCTATGGAGGCCATTGTCCCTTGTAATGTAGCAATTATATCCCAAAATTACTCAAATATCCTCCCTTAATATCAGGCTTTTTTTTTTATTTTTCACCTCCATTAAATATTAGATTTTTTTTTTTTTTTTAATTTCACGTATTATATTCTTAAATTATAAGCATGGGATCCATCAATTTGTCTTTTGGCTATGGTTTTCAGAGTATTAGAAAAGGAGAATAAATTAACAAAATTAGAAATAAAAATAATGGGTTTAAAATAGTAATCTGAAATTTGTGAATAATAAAATAATTTACTAATTCCAAGAACATATAGTAATAATATGCACAGAGAGAGAAGCGGGGGGAGAGGTAGAAGAAGACAGCCGCAAAGACAGAGAGTAGGGCGCTGAGGTCCACAATTATTCCAGATCACGGGAGCTCCACTGTTTATATCTCGACCCAATCATATGTCTCGGTAAACGGAATCGTCGAAGTATTTGTGCAAATCGATAATAAAATACGATAATTATCATTTCAAAAGTTCATTGAAGAAATTGATAATTATGAGAAAAAAGAAGCTCATACCTCTTTTCGTCGGTTTAAAAGTTATTATCCGTTCAAAATAGATACGGCTATAATAACTCAATTTAAAAAACTTTTAAAAATTAAAATTTTAGTAAAAATTCATTAGAATACTGTAAACTTAAATCGAAAATAAAAAAAAAGTGAAATATTTTAACAATTATTTTAAATGCTAACAGATAATATTGAACTTTTGAAAGAAAAAAGTGAAATATTTTTCAAATGGAAGACAGTTTTTTTTTTTTTTTTTTTTTTTTTTTTTTTTGGGGTAGTGTGGAGTCTATAGGCTTCGTTCAATAGATGAAATTTCTAAGGATAATCGAGTCTTGGGATAAGGACTCGAAGATTATAAAATGAAAGCATTACAACCAAAATATTATAACAAGCCAAAGTACAGGACGGTGTATTTTCAATTATTATTTCATACAATCATATAATTCAGAAAAAGGGAAAGAAAAAGTCACATGCCACACAGGAGCCACGTGTCTCCCCTAAAAGAAATCACATTCACAGTCCCCTTTTGTTCAAGAGAGCTTTTTTTCATTACAGGGACAAAATAGAAAGAATAATACACAATTTTACTCAGACAGGACAATTTTCAGTAGCCAAGCCAAGGAAGATGGTCAGCTGGACAAGGATTTGTATGTAAACAATGGGGGCAACAGGTGATGTCGCCAAGCCTATGAAATACAGAAACAGAGGAACTTCCTGTTTACTGTTTTGGAAACTTGCCTATGGCTGCATGGCTCGCACTATACAAAATAGCAGAACGGGAAGCAGAAAAGCAAACCAATTGATGAATAATACGTGTCACGAGCATCGGCATTGATAAGACGGTAACGGGCACACATAACGAAAAAGAAACCTGCAATCTAAGTGAAATATATAATGATTAGTTATATTTATATTAGCATTGCTGCAAACAAGAATCAAATTTGAGCAGGGGGTTGGGGGGAACTAAAGGAGTATCAAATCTGGACCTATATAGTTGAATAAGGAGACATAACGTATTCAGTGCTGAAAAATTTACAAAATTCCTTCACAGTGTTGGATGATGAAAGTCCCACATCGGCTAATTTAGGGAATGATCATGGGTTTATAAGTGAGGAATACTAACTCCATTGGTATGAGGCCTTTTGGGAAGCCCAAAGCAAAGTCATGAGAGCTTATGCTCAAAGTGGACAATATCATACCATTGTGGAGAGTCGTGTTCGTCTAACATGGTATCAGAGTCATGCCCTAAACTTAGCCGTGCCAATAGATTGGCAAATCCTCGAATGTCAAACAAAGGACTCCAAAAAAGAAAAAAGGAGTCAAGCCTCCTCGAAGGTACGAAGGCAGTAAAAAATGACTAAGACTCCAAAGGAGTCGAGCCTCGATTAAGGGGAGGCGTGCTTTGTTCGAGGGGAGGTGTTGGATGATGAAAGTCCCACATCGGTTAATTTAGGGAATGATCATGGGTTTATAATCTAAGAATACACTCTCCATTGGTATGAGGCCTTTTGGGAAGCCCAAAGCAAAGTCATGAGAGCTTATGCTCAAAGTGGACAATATCATACCATTGTGGAGAGTCGTGTTCGTCTAACATGGTATCAGAGTCATGCCCTAAACTTAGCCGTGCCAATAGATTGGCAAATCCTCGAATGTCAAACAAAGGACTCCAAAAAAGAAAAAAGGAGTCAAGCCTCCTCGAAGGTACGAAGGCAGTAAAAAATTACTAAGACTCCAAAGGAGTCGAGCCTCGATTAAGGGGAGGCGTGCTTTGTTCGAGGGGAGGTGTTGGATGATGAAAGTCCCACATCGACTAATTTAGGGAATGATCATAGGTTTATAAGTGTGAGGAATACTAACTCCATTAGTATGAGGCCTTTTGGGAAGCCCAAAGCAAAGCCATGAGAGCTTATGCTCAAAGTGGACAATATCATACCATTGTGGAGAGTCGTGTTCGTCTAACACACATAAATGACAAATTGAATCGTGGTGAACATTTGCTTCGTTTCATTTTCAAGGTAAGATATGAGAACAATGGGGACTCAATTATGTATATAAGCAAATCTCAATTAACATAAGAGTGTTAGGAGATATCTACAACGACATAAAAACAGTAAACAAACCAGAGAAAATCGGTAGTACGGAAATCTTTTAGGCTCGAATGCATGAAGAGTTGGGTGTACCTATTAAGATCAAGCCGAACTGCCCCTTTTCTTGTCCTTGACTATGATGACTGGGCATTCTACATGATTGGTGCAGTAGTTGCTGACACTTCCCAAGAACATCCTGCATGAAGCAGTATGATCACAAAGGCATGTCAATAATGTCTTCACTTCAGCAGTCGATCGAAGTTATTTTCCAACAAAATGCAAGGCACTATATCGACAATAGTGGTCCGGAATATGATAACAAAACAATGGCAAGTAATAAAACATAAAACAAGATGGTCATGATATCAAAGCGAGACTGCTGGTGTGCTGCACATACACTAGGAGTGCAAGTGGGAAAGGGAGAAGATGAGTAGTTGGCGAGTGTTGATGGAATTGTTAATGGAGTAGGTACTACGGTCCCCAATTTTGACCTTGTAAGGTATCTCCCTTATAATTTATGATATTAAGAGCAGGAAGAACAGTCACAAGGGCTTTACTCACCCTCCTCACACTGCTCCTATTACAAAATAAAAGCCACCTTCTACGGCATCCCCCCCAAACATATATGCGTATGAACTCACTGACCATACTTCTCTGACTTCTAACTGTCGGTGGTGAATTCCTTCTTTGCCCTTTCTAACATACGTATTAACCATGGCCATAGGAAGCCTCACGTTTATCTTGTCCAGAAGGAGGCCCTTGCATGGCATTGGAACATGTTGGTATTTTGGGCTTAGAGTTTGCTCTAAGAGGGAGAGTTCTTGTGTGTGCCTATGCATCTGTTATTTTTGGTGGTTATTGCCTATCAGATCATTGATATCTTATATATATGAGTGCATGTTGAAAAACAAAAGGGAACAAAATAAGGGCAGGGGGCGAGGAACCCCCTCACAAACAAAAGACTAATGGAACACAGCCTCCCAATTGTGGAGTAGTTGAGTTGGGCTACAATTATACAAAAAAAAATTCATGTTTCTAAGACACCATAGAGAGAACGCAATTTCTATATTGCTGCAAAAAGAACAAAAGTATTAGACTTTTCTTTAAAGAATCCTTCTATTTCTCTTCTTCCGTAACTCCCAAACAAGCATCCGGGTAGCACACCTCCATAAGATTTTACTCCTGCCTTTAAAGATCCAACCATTTAAAGCTTCAATAAGCCAATCCTTAATCGTCTCAGGCAGTTAAACAGAAAAACCAAAAGCTTTAAGGATCTGATCCCACCCTCTTGAAGCAAGAGAGCAGTTAAGGAAAAGGTGTTCCATGGACTACTCATCTTTCAGGCATAAGACACACACCAAAGGGGAACGAGACATAGTCTTGAGCTTACATTGTAGCCTTTCATGAGTATTCAAATTTTTTATAGGAAAGGCTTCACAAAAGAACTTTAAGCTTGTTTGGAACATTGAATTTCCAAATGATATCGATCAAGGGAGATTTGAGCTTTAATCTAGTTTCCTTTTAAAAGAACTAGAGTACTTTGAATATGCAACAAAGTCACTCTAGCTTTACTTTTAATTTGGAGACGAGACTGGAATACTTGGAATATGCAAGCAGATGATTTGATAAATTTTTTGAGGCATCAGATTTTAATAGTTAGCAACACAGTACGGTCTCTAACAGAGGCTATTTTCTAAATGGTGCCACATCGTCACAAAATCTACATGCTAGCATTATTCATACCAAGAGGCAACAGCTACTATTTATCATAGTGTGGCTTGCAGAAAAATAGCTATCGACATTAGCTGATGTAACCATACCTTTTGATGGGACCAAAAGCACGGGACCCCATAACTAGCAAATCAGCATGCAAATTCTCAGCCACTTCACAGATCTTTTCCTTTGGATCTCCGATTACCACTTTAGTTTCCACGTTCACCTGAAAATCCCATAATGAGTTTGCTGCAACCATTAGTTCAACTGGAGAAAATGCCTCGCTGACTTGAAATTGATACCCCAGATACATTAAGGAAACTAAAAGCACTTGACAAGCAAGAATACACCATATATACAAATTGTTGACGCAAATTATTGAGTAATTTCATTAGTTTCGGGATAAAAGAATAAAAGAAACGACAAAAAGTGAAACAGATCAGAAGATTTCACTGAGATTGTTCTCCTTGACTCTAAATTGACGGTATACCGTACACCACCACACTAACAAATCATAATATTTTCTGAAAGTTAAGCCCGTTTTACAACAAACATTTGCAGGTGGAAGTAGTATTTAAATGCTTGAGTTTCAAAAAACAAATACCAAATGGTTAAAGGGAGCTAAACGATTCAAATCCACTAATAACTAATTGACCAGTTAAATTCTATTAAGAAGTTTGCAATCCGAAGTAAAATATCTATGCTAACTCGCAGAGTCGCAATTAGCAAGAATAACCGAGTTAAAAGAGCACAATGAAAATGAATTTAGGCGAAAGGTTCTAAATAGTGGAGCCTAACTTTGTAGTCGGAGCAAATCCGTGAAGCATGACCCAATATCGCAGCTGTAATCCGCCTCTGATGCGACTCAATCGCTGCCGTGAAAGCAGGAACCTCCAGATCGCCTACATCAAATTAAAACATTAAACTTAGAGAACTCCCAACAACAGCTCGCTCAGAAATGAGCGTGAGAAAATAGTATAGGACTCAACTAGGGCCACCAAAGGGGATTGGACCAGGACTGAGACCGGCGGCGATTGTAGGAGGAGGTTGAACATGCAGCACAACAAAAGTGCCGTCAGTGGAGCCCGGCGCCGATGAACGGAGCTTGAGATTTTCAAACGCCCACCGTAAAGCGCCCATGCTCTCCTCGCTGCCGTCAACGGCCACGATCACGCATCGAAGATCGGCAGACATTGTTCACAATTCCGCTGATGATTTACCCGTGTGATTCTCAACCTCTTTAGTGTTTACGGTCGCTGACTTCCAGTTGCAGCCGCGGGAGGGTTCTCGAGCACAACGTGACGACCCTTAAGCGCGCCAATAGCCGTTTACAGACTTACACGCCACGTAAGCGTTATTGGGCTTCGGCCCAACAAAGTATGGTGGGCCTAACTCCAATCACAAGGCCCAAAATTCCGTACATATCCTTGGAGAAAGTTTGTCATATTTGTTATACTTTCTTCCATTTTTAAATTGGTTATAATTTCCGTATTAGTATTTATAGTTAAATTTGAATATTTTTACAATGTTATTTTAATGGTTAGAGATTTAAAAGTTAAAATATAAATAATGTACTAAATTAATAAAAATACCTATTTTTTTAAAAAAAAAGATAAATAGTAATAATTTTTATTTAAATATATTTTAAAAATTTTTAAATTTATTAATAAAATATAAAATTTATGAACATTTTTTTTATTCATTTACCCCAAACAGTAACATATCTTAAAAAACGCGAAAAAGTGTGAAAGGAAAATGACGTCACCGACATTTGATTGTTTGAGGTTTTATTTATTAATTATTATTATTTTGGACTGCATGTGACGTTTGCAGCCGTCCCTACGATTTGATTCGTGCCATTTTAAAATACCAATAATTTAATATAAATTTTTTATTTTTCATGCTTAAATTCAAATATTTCTCCAAAATAAGCGAAAATTATAATATGAAAATGAAAGAAAATAAAATAAAATTAAAAGCAAAATCGTATTAAACTTAAATAAAATTTTAAAATATATTTTTATTAGTATAAACATGTGTTTATCAAGGGACCTACGTTGTATGTATTGAAGCACGCTGCATGGAACATGTGCGAGACACATAAGCATGACACAGTCCAAGACTAAAACAACATAAATAAATAATTCATTGTAATATTTTAATTTAAAATTTATAATAAAAACTAATACAAGACAACGTGACTCGAGGAAATAATACGTTAACCAAATAATTTATTTTGACAAAAACATTTTAAAACCAAGAGAATAATAATTAAAAAAAAATATTAACGTTAACAATTAGATTAATAATAGAAATAACTTTTGGATAGCGTCAAGAGCTACAAATGGAAAATGGTCCCTCGTTTAGCCTTATAGGTCTTTCCATACATGGGAATGGCTACTAATTAAATGGTCTTGTGTCAATTTATGCTCATTGGTCGAGAGCATATTTATTCGAGATGTATATTTAATTGGTTCGGTGCATGTGGACCAAATGTTCTTTAAGACATCCACCTAACCGACAAAAATTATAGTTAAATGCAACATAAAATAAATTATATATTAAAAATACTTTAAAATTACTGTTTTTTTAATATGTAAAAGAATATAATAAAAATTTCGATAGAAAATCCAATCTCGTGGAAATAAATAAAATAGTTGTGTTGACAGGGATTGAAAGGGATTGAAAGAGGGGACGAGAAACACTTTTCCATTGTAGTCCTCACTGGTATATATATATATCATATTTTTTTTATCAATTATAAATTATATTCGCGCATATATATATATATATTTTTTTGTTAAGTCATTAAAGTTTAGACAAGATTCTTTAATTATATAATAGGCAAATTTAGATATTTTTTTACGTATTTATTTATAAATTTTAGTAATTTAATAGGTTTAGGGTTTAGGGTTTCGCGATTCAATCGAATTCAATTTTCTATTTTCGAGTTTGCTGTCGGGTTGTTATTTTTTTAAAATTAATTAAAAAAAAAGTAAAAAATATACTTATCCACATTACAAACATTACTAGCATATGGTTACAGTTACTTACATTAATTATTACTAATATTTTTTAAACGAGAATTTGGTTGTAATCCAATTTTCGAGTTTTGACCAATAAAAAAAAATAAAAATCCACAAACCGAACTAGTCTTTTTTTTTTTCAATTTTTTAAAAATTGAATCCAAATAAAAAGAAAATAAAAAAAAAAAAAAAACCAATCGCTGAACCGTACGAAATGAAAAGAAGATAACCGGTTAGTATCACGGGCAACAGACCGAACCGGATGGGGTATTACAGTGGACCGCTTTTGAGATGGGCCCACCCATATATTCGGGGGCAAGGAATTCGCGGTTTCCAACGCCACTAAACCGGATAAAAATACAAATACCTTACCCCCGACCGCCAATTTTCTTATTTGGGAATTCTCTCACTTTTAATTTATTTTTTTGTTTTAAAAAATTAAAAACATTAAATTTACATTTATATATTCCTCAATTTTTATTGTTTTAATTTTACTTTTTCCCATAACGTAATCCATAAACTCGAATATTATTTAATTCAATTATTCCAATAAATAAAATAATTATTTAATATTTTTTTTTTTCTCTCATTCATTGGTTTTCATCTCCCTCGCTCTGGTTTCCGACCTTTCTCTTTCCCCAAGAAAGAGACAAAGGAAGAAAAAAAAGCTCCATTGATCTGAGCTCTGCAACAATAAGCATTGTTTTTCTGTCCAATCCACGAGCTCGAGCTGTTTCATAAGCTCACTCCACCTTTAATTTTGCTCCAACTACGCGACATTCTTCTCTTGTTCATTTTCCCCTCTTTTCCGCCATTTCTTTTTTTGGCAATTTCTTGTTTCAAGGATTTTTGTTCTGTTCGCATGACCAAATCACTCGGCGTTACCATTGGCATCCTTGCCCTAATCTGCAAGCTAATCGAGGAATCTATGTGTTGTTACATAGTTAGAAGCTTAGGTTCTAGCGGTTCTGGTGATTCTGGTGATTCTGGTGGGTGCATTTTGATTCCTCAGGATAAATGCTTGTCGCTTGGGATTTAGGGTTTCAGAGCCTTGTTCTTGCAGCGTGTTTGGTTTTTCCCGTTATTGTTCTTGTTATTCGTCACAAATGGCGGCTTGGTATGGCAAGGAAGCAAGAGATCGACTGGCTATTGGTCTTGGCGTCGGAGGAAGCTGCTAAGGTTGAATATGAGGCTTCGTTTGGGTACATTCCTGCGCCGATTTCTCTGAATCTTCACTGTGCTCTTTGTTTCAGTCCCACGACTACCCGTTGCGCTCGTTGTAAAGCAGTTCGATACTGGTACTCCAATCTTAGATTCTTTGTGGGATGTTTTTTTTTAAAGTTGCTGATTTGATGTTTCGGCTTTGTAAATGGCGTTTAATGTCGTGTGATTGTTTTCCACTTTTGTTTTTATTGTTGGGAGGTTCTTTTCCTTTTCCTTTTCCTTTTTTTTTTTTTTTTGTTTTTAGGTGATCACAGGTACCGATCAAGGTGGGAGAGTGCTAGAGAGCTGCACTATCACAAAGGTGTTAATCCAAGACATCAATTTAGTTTGTATTTTGTATGTTGTTATTTGTATTCATTTTACATCTCGTTCTCGTTTCCAGTTTGTAAATAAATTAAATATCATTTATTTTGTATTATTTTCATTTTGAAATTTGGTTTTTAAGTATAATGTTTCATGACTCTAAATCGAGTGAAATTTTATCGTGTTTATGCTTTCATTTATTAATCATTTATCTTATCTTTTAGTCACGATCNTTTTATGGGAAATCCGGGGAATTGTGTTTTTGATCCTTGTGTCTACATTTTCTGACTACTAAATCTGTTATTCCATTCCTTTCTTCCAAGTAAAGACAGTCTTAACTGCATAACACTTTCAAATTCTCTCACTTTTGGGACAAGGAGATTGGAGTCCATGGCATAGTTATGGCATAATCAGACTATAACAATCACCAAAATGGCTGAGATTTATTGTTCTTCAAGATAGCAACTAATTTATCAGCTCTTTTGTAATAATGTATCAGTTGAAAGTTGCCAACCGCCAGAAAAATCTGAATAAGTGTAAAATGTCCAAGAACGTATTCGATATATGAAATCCCATCTAGGTGTTAGCTTAGGGGTTAGAGGAGGTGCGTTCGAGCAAACTCGAATCCCTTTTTATACTTAACTGGACCCGGGGAATTGTGAAGTTCACTGACGATACTTAACTTGAACATTTATTGAGAGTTGAGAAAACCCCTTTGTACTTTTTTGACAATGCTTGAACCTTCCCCGGATGTATGTTGGTTGATGGGATTGTGAGTATCTCCTGTAATGAAGAATTGTCAATTGGTTAGAAGAGGTAATGACACGTACTCTCATTACAGGGAGGACGAATACGATTCTTCATACTTCTCTTGGATGTATTTGAAAATCGATATTTCTCGTTACTTCCATATTATGAAGCAAAAAACAGCATGCTTGGTCTTTTTAGGATAACTAGATCAAAACCAGAGCTTTCTGATGGTGCATGTATGCACATTTTTGGATCCAGTATCTCTAATCTGGATAATTCTTATTCCTCATTCACATTGCAAGCTGTAAGTGTGTACGCACGATCCAATAGTCTCAAGCATGCTTACTTAATGTTAGCTTTTGCGTTTTGTTTGAAAAAAAAAATTATGGCTAGTATGTTGCTAGATAATTGCATTAACATATTTGATAAAGATTATTCATTCCATTCATGCTGATGCTTCCTTCAATGATTCCTTTTATGTTGCCATTTTGACCTTCAGTTCTGGTCATTGTCAAATTATTCACTGGCGTCAAGGTCATAAAGACGAATGCCACCCACCCAAAACGTCTGATTGGTCTTCGGAGAAGGAAAAGGATTCCGAGGACAAGTTAGCAGACCAATCCCACTCTGGAAGCTGTGGCAAAAAGTTTGATACTGACAATGGGCAACATGTAGAACCAGATAAGATCTTGTATGATAAACTTACATCTCCAGACTCTGGTTACTCTAGTCATAGTCCAAGTCAAAAGGATGTTAGTGTGAAGTTTCACGCAGATGAGGCCGGAAATTCAACTTCAGAATTGCCAGATACTAATTTATATGAATTCCACTCTTCTACATTAAACACTGAATCATCTGATGATGTGTTTGTGAGTGAGAATGACAGCGTGTCCAGTTCCCCACGATCTGAAGGATATTCATCTGCTCAAAATTCCTTTGACAAGGATAATTCTACATCCAGAGTATCAATTGTTGGCCCAAACAAGCCATTAT